AGGGCGGCCCCGGGGTCCCGCGAGGCCCAGGAGGGCGGCGGCGCGACCAACGCCATCGAGGCGGTGGTGCCGCGCGCCGGGAACCCCAGCTCCAACGTGGTGGTGAACTCGGGGTGGTGATGTCCGGCTGGCACCCGACCAGGAAACAACGTCGCCGTCGCGGCCGGGTAAACCACCCCGGCAGTCGCCAGGGCGTCCGCGCCTACCGTCCCGCCTCGAACCACCCTGCCGGTTTCCTATCCGTGAGACGCGATTAAGCCGACAGCGACCGCGGGGCAGATTATGAGTTCACGATCAGCTCGGTCCGTCCAAATGATTCCTCGAATCGGATCAATATTCCGGATCTATATTCTGGAAGATGTGAAATCCTGGTACAAGCAGTGTCCTCGGCAAACGATTTGCACGTTGATCACTGTGACGTTGGTATATATTGGCGATCGCTGTTAGAAAACCACGTTTCTTCACTCACTTCTCCACTGTCCTCAACTTTCCGCTAAATAACGCATAATTGCGAAACAAACTGTACAAGTGATGTTCGACGGCTATCATATTTGCGGAGAATTATGAACGAGCCAACGCGTGCGTTCTCCAATTAGCGAATGCAATTGTGTAGACACTTGCCCAGAATATCAAAGTCCAAGCTTCATCCTTTAACGATAGAGAATCGAAGTTCTGTTCGATCCTTCGGAAAATATCGTACTTAAGTAAAGATCTCACGGTGCCAAATCAACTTTGCTATTAATCGTAGATTACTCGCGCTGCAATAGCCACAATGTCATCCTGCGAAAACTCCCGATAAACGTGTTTGAACAATAATCGCGAATGATACGATGATGTCAAACAGTAACAACCCTCACACTCCGTCATGCACTCAGAGGCACTTCACTTTTTTTTCACGTGTACATCGCGATTTTTCGATGAGGAAGGTCTCGCGTTTACAACACCGACACTCGCACCGACACCGACCGAACTATTCTGACGGCAACCCTTCGATCATCAGGGAAGCGACACACGACCCGGTAATAAAAGGGGAGAGGAAGAGACAAACAAGCTCCGAAGATGAATTTAAAGCAGTTCGCAAAGAGCAGTCGTGTCTTTGCTGCTTGACGTTTCGCGCTTTGGCGCGATTTGGAGTATACCTCTTCAGAGCTTTCTCATCCGTAACCACGAGCGCGCCTACGTACGTTCCCGCGTGCGTACGTACGTGCGTGCGCGTACGCAGTTGATATATCGTTCAGCCGTAAGCGACACTTGCGTTTGCGCGAGCTGCGATGTATACGTTTGCTCGCTCGCTCGCTCGCGTGCGCGTGTACTTCTTTGGATGCGCGTTGCGCGATAGTGTGCGTGATGGTGTCGTCCCTCCGTCGCGCGCTTGCAGCGCCGAGCAT